GCGGCCAACAGGCCACAACAGAGGGCTTCATGCAATATCCCCAGAGCGAGCGAGATCAGAGCAGGGCACAGCTGGGGATCTTCTTTCCATAAGGGCAGCTTTAGAGTACAAGAGTAAGGGGTCTCTAGCATTCTCTTCAAGGGGGTTAGCAAACAAAATGGGAAGGTGTCAACCACAGGCACTTCGGATACAAGGCTGGGTTGGAGAGCAGCATGGGCCAAAAAGCAGAGCTGGATTTAGGGAAACAAGCAAGGCAGCGTCCACCAGTTCTTGTGGGGAGACTCAACAGCAGCATGGTGTGGGGAACACTGGGAAATGAGGGGGGGGCACTGTAGCAGAGACGCGGGACAGGACCACGGGGGGCTCCTGGTTGCTGGATGGTTCTACAGTATGGAAATGTCAACACAATGGAGATGCATCGTGCTGCAGAGACGGAGGGAGGCAGTGGTGGGTTCTGGATCCCTGTGCAACCGGTACGGTGCAATGCGGCTCAGCATCTCCCACATGCATGCACGCATGGGACATGCACGCATGCGTCCTTACCTCTGTGATGCCTCTGCGATGCTCCAGCTGCTCGGCAGAGCATCGTGCAGGTGCCGTATGTTCCGTGCGTGTGCGCGGAAGTGCCAAAGAGCTCAGGTAAGGAGCTCGGGCAGGTGGATGGGCCCTCTGGAGCACCATACTGGAATGGTGCCCGGTGCTCCCGGCAGGCACCAGTATGCCCGTACAGGGGTGTACTGCCTGAAATCCACCACTGGAGGGAGGGCATCGGGATCTTCAGACACAGGTGTTTCATCTGGACAGGTGGGGCAGGGTCACCCCGGCCACACCTGGAACTTGAGGCAGGACATCCTCTTGGCAGGTACCACTTAGCGGTGACTCAACAGCACGAGAACGAAGGCGTCAGCAGCAGCTTGTACATCCAGAACGACCCATGGCACCCCAGCATGAGCTTTGAAAACTTCCTTCGGAACGACGAGAGCATCGACAAGCAGGTCAGAGAGAGAAGGTTGTATGTTTGTGTGTGTTGTGTATGTGTCTATGTGTGTTTCTAACTGGAGATTTCTTTCCGACAGGACCTGGTGGCCTGGGTGACGGTGGGCTTCCTCCACATCCCCCACTCGGAGGACATCCCCAACACGGCCACCCCCGGCAATGTAGTGGGCTTCCTACTGCGCCCCTTCAACTTCTTCGACGAAGACCCCTCGGTGGCATCCCGTCGCACAGTCATCGTGCGTCCCAAAGAGTCTGGGCACGGGGTGCAGATTCAGCGCTGGACTCCAGAGAGCCCGGGACACTGCGTGACGAAGGTGCCCTTCAGCTACAACGGCACCTACAGCCCCATCTAGCTCAGCTGGGACCTTCTGATCATGGAACGCCACTGTCGCCGGTTCGAAACACACCCTCTGAAGGACCTCATCTAGTGATGCCCCTGGCCAGGCAGAGGGTCTGTGGGCAGAAAGACTGAGGAGGAACTGCCTCCCCCCCCTTGGTGTTCTCCCCACTCCAGATCCTTTCCAGGACTAGCTGTCCCTCGACTGCCAGCAGCTGGTGCTGATTCTGCCTCACTTGCTCCCCCTCCTGGCCCATTACTGACTTTACAACAAGGGGCAAGGGGCCACAAGGGGGGAGTCTCGGAACTTAAGGATTGCAGGTATTACACCTCTGTAGTCCCGCTTCCCCAGAGGGTGGCTGTCGGAGCAGGGCTTCCCCTTTGGGCCACGGGAATCCTCTGCCCCACCCACCAGGGCTGTCGTGAAAATAAATTGAGATAAACCTTTCGAAGCACAGTCTACACAAATGGTGCCACACACAACACTCTCTCTCAAAGGGCAGCTCGGGATGTAGAAGGCCAAGAATATTGAGCCCCTAGAACAGTGACGTTTTCAGGCCATTTTGGGGCCAAAATGGCCTGACAAACAGACCGAAAACAGCTTCTGTTTCGGCATTTTCAGGGCTTTTTCAGGTCATTTTTTTGCTGTTTTTGGCCATTTTCAGGCTGTTTTCCATCACTCCGGCGCCTGCGAAGACATACTTGCCAGAAACGAGAGGAGCAGCTGGCAATGGCGTGTGTGTCCACAGAGAAGGTTCTGCGTGCCACCTCTGGCATGCATGCCATAGGTTCACCATCACGGCCCTAGACACCCCCCCCCCCACAGCCCCTGTGCCACTGAAGGCCCCACCCACAGCGCCAATCAACAGCAACTCCCCTACCCATGTGGCTCACGCAGCCACAACACTCGCAGTGGCCCTGCCGGGGAAGTTGCTCTGCCACACTCTGCACCCAAACCAACCCATACAGGTAGACTTTACCTTACAACAATTTCACTTTTGCTGCTAACCGAGACGGTGGTTTTGCCGTTTTATGAAGGTCATAACTGTCCTGGTCACAGTTGTGAAGCCAATCCCTGCCGCTATTCAGTTAGTAACACAAGTTTGCTTCACCGCCGTGTTATTAATGAACAGCGGGAATGCCCGTGATGTTGCTCGTCAGACGGTCGGGACCCTGGGCCACTGTGACAGTCGGACATACGAGCCACTGTGAGGCCGCGGCAACGGTCGTGTAAAAAACCGGTCACAAATGACCGGACTTCTCCTGAATCTCCTGGGGGGGGGGGCTCCTGTGTTTGCCAAGATAGGGAGTCCCCCACCTTCCCACCAACTCCTCCAGTTTTTAGGGTGTCACCTAAAAAATGGTGTCTCCACGCTGAACAGCCTCTCTTCCCGAGTGAAACGACCAGCTGTTGTTCCTTCGATGGTCAGTCCATTGCGTCGTCTGTCAACTGAACCAGGTACCTAGGACAACGTCCCACCCCCAGGCACACAGGTAGGTCCTCAACCTACTACTGTATTTGGGCCCAAAAATTTAAGTGGCTAAGTCAGACATTCGTTGCCTTTTGCCTCATTTTATGACCTTTCTGGCCACTTCGAAGTGAATCAGTCTTAACTTGCTCACACAGTTGTTAAGCAAATCGGGTTGGAAGGTCGCATCACCTCCCCATGACGCTCTGTATATTGTAAATGTGAGTCGGGATCGTGTCAAAGACGTGGCCACGGGGATGCTGCAATGGTTGTAAGGGTGAAAAATGATCCTTTTTTCCAGTGCTGTTGTAACTTTGGTCACTAAACAAACTGTCATAAATCAAGGACTTCCTGTGGATGTGGGGCTTGGCTGAATGGGTCCTTTGGGGGAGGGGCTGTTAACACCCAAGGAACCAGGTGGGGCAGCTCTGTGTAGACCAGTTGTGGTGTCGTTCCCGTCACAATGCGTCCTCGAGATCAGTACAGAAAATGGGGAAGGGGCAGAATTGGTTGCCCCGCCTGGATGCTTTATCTCCCCCCTTTGCTCCCCCACTGCAAGAAATATATACAGGCAGTTCTCAATTTAAAACAGTTCACTTAGTGACTGTTCAGAGTTATGGCCAGTGATGGGTTCCTACCGGTTCGGACCGGTTTGGCGGAACCGATAGTGGTTTGGGAGCCTGGGTCGCTGGAACTGGCAGTGACTCAGGCTTGCCATGCCCCCAAACCGGTTCGCCGGGTGACACCATCTTGTTTTTCGCTTCTGTGCATGCGCAGAACAATTTTTATTGCACTTTGCGCACATCAAGCGCACGAGTGTGTGACGCCTGCGTACGCAGTGCACCCAAAAACCAACTGCCAGTCGTGTCTGCTAGAACCCACCTCTGGTTACGACGGCACCGAAAAAAGGGCTTAGGACCATTTTTTACACTTACGACGTCACAGCATTCCTAGGGTCACGTGATCCAATTTCAGATGCTTGGCAACTGACTCCTAATTATGACGGTCGCAGTGTCCCGGGGTCACACGATCCGCTTTTGCGACCTTCTGACTCTCAATGGGGAAGCCAGATTCACTTAATAAGCAGGTTACTAATTTAAGAACTGCAGTGACTCACTTAGCAACATTGGCAAGACCAGTTGCAAAAAGGGGCCCATGTCCACTGAACCAATCACTCGCTTTGAGACAAAGGTTTGGGCCTCCAGTGTGGTCGTAAGTCGAGGACTGCCTGGACTTTCTGACCAGCTTTCCTCTTTTCCAGGCAATCTTTGCAACTTCCAGGCTGAAGCACACAGCCCACCCCTGTGAACCCCCCCCCCACAAAGAGACCAGACCTGTGGGGAGGGGGTTTAGTCATCCACTCCAAGTTTATTGGGCATTGGTTGCTACTGCCGAGGACAGCATGCGCAGGGGGCGCGGGATGTAACGTGCGTCATTCAGATGTGTGGGGCAAGCTGGGAGAAGAGGGGGGGTCTGGAAACCTGCAGTGTGGGGGGCGCCGTCAGCACCCCCTTGATGGAACCTAGCTGTCTGCTACTAAGTGAGAGGGACCGGTGGGGAAGGACAGGAAGGGGGTTGCATCCAGCAGGCTGCTGCTTTAAAGGGGAGGGGGATGCAATGGGACGTGGGGAGGAGACCTCCCCCCATTCACCACTGTGTCCCCCTACACCCCATTTTCCCATCAGTCGGAACATTTAGGAGTGGCTGAGAAAGTGGGGTGCACTGTGCAGAGAACACACCCCTCAAATAGATGGGGAGTGATGCCCTGCCTGCAGCCCCATGTGTAATGGGGAGGAGCTGTGAACACAGGTTTCTAAGAGGGGAGGAGTGATCCAGCAGTAAATGACCCACACCCGCCTGTCCACAACTCTCACAACTTCTCAGCTCTCCCATGCGGGCTGCTCCGATCTCGAACGGTCCCCCCTGATGGACTCAAAGGGCTTGGAATTATTGCTCAGCTGGAGCCTCCCCACACCCCACCGAGAAATCGCTTTGGTGAAGCAAAGGTTGGATTATGAAAGTCCTGGAGGGGAGAGGGTCTCTCAAAAAAGAAAGCGGGGTACGGGGGCCCTCCGAGTATCACAAAGACTCCCCATAAGGAGATGGGGAGGTGTCCCGCTGCCCTCCTCAGGGGTTCCAGCTTGGGGTCCCTATAGGAGCACCCATTTTCCTCCTGGACTCCCCACTCAGCCACCTGGGTTGATTGAAACCCCGGAACCCATGAAGGATGGTACATCACAAAGTTCAGATCCTTGCCGTCAGTGTCCTGTTGGCTCCGCCTACATCCTCCTCATGTCCTTCACACCACGTCGTCGTCCACAGTTCTTGCAGCCCTTCCGCCAGTTCCCCAGGCATCCTCCAGGATCTGCCCAGCTGTTAGGCCAGCTAACGTCATCATGGGAGAGTGGCTAGCCCTGCTTGGCCATGCCAGGCAGCCGCCCCTTGGGTGGGCCGCGCAGGCTCCTGGCAATCTTTGTCCACTGTATACTCCCCATCGTGAAGAGACCCTCATCTGGGTCTTCGTCCAGAGTTGATTAACTGCCGGGGTCCGAGCAGTGTCTGTGCAAATCGGGAGGCAAGTCCGGTCCCCCCGTGGCAGCCAGCTGTCCCGGGAGAGAAAGGCGCCGAGGGGCCACGCAGGGCGGCTCCACCAGCAATACCACCTCATCAGTAGATTCGGTAGTGTCCACCCGGAGAGATGGAAAATGAGGCATCTGAGAAGGGATGAGAGGAAGATCAACTGTAAGTGACCTTGGGGGAGGTCCAAGCCCCCTTGAAAGGGAAGGGATGGGCAGCACCCACAAAGGCAACGGCTGATGCCACATGAATCTGGTCCATCTGACAGACTCATGTCCATCTGGAAGGCTGGGATCCCGGAACACCAGGCGAGAATCTGGCACGGGTTTCAGGAGCTGCAGATCTGAGGACAGGGCTCAGCTCTCTGAGGGGACACTCACCTGTGTCCGGGTGCAGAGCGCCTGGGCCAGGATGGGGGGGAGGGCCAGGGGGTGCTCCCCTGAGGTGGGCTCGGCGTTCGATGGGTGCTGCGGAGAGGAGACGGCGCTGTAGGTGGGAGGCACCAGGATGGCTTGGCGCTGCAGCAGCTGCAAGATGGAGGCCACGTCCGTTGTCAGGCGGTTCTCCAGCCTGGGTGGAAGCGACGAGAGGAAGGTAAAATGGCTGGCAAGGCTTGGCTCCCACTGCTAGGTGGGCCGAGAGGGTAGGGACCCAGGCAGGCAAACAAGGCATCTCTTCCACGGATGTCTGTCCGTGGTACACACTGCCTCCACATCCATCTGCAGTGCCTTTGGTGTAAGGAAGAGACTCCCCACCCCCCAACACACACACACCATCCCATGTGAGAACAGTGGCAACTTCCTTGTTCCACCCATCCAATTTGGCTTTCTCCGGGCATGAAGGGTCCTCCGTTGTTTCCCCCTCCCCTCCTTCTAGCCAACTCTTGGGGGGGGTTCCTGTTTTTCCAGAAGGGGCTGGGGTCTTGGAAAAGTGAAGAGGACAACACCAAGAAAGGCCCTCTTGGCCTTGGGTGGGGAGGAGGAGTATCCTTCAACCCTCCCCCTTCCCTTTGCCAGCAAATGCCCAGGAATGATTCTGCTGAAGTTACAGGGCACAACCACACACACACACACACCCTCTCTACCTGTTGAGCTGCTTCTGGAGCAGGTCCAGGCGGCCTTCCAGCTCAGCGCGATGCCGCCTGCTGGAGGGGAGGCTGCCGCTGCCGGCCAGGGGGAGGTTGAGGGTGGGGCGGGCAGGAGTCGGGCAGCGGGGCAGCTCCTGATACTGACGTTCTCGGCTCTCACTCCAGAAGCTGAAGATATTCGACACACCTGAAAAGGCTCCTGGGAGGGGACACAGGAGGGATGTGTGTGTCAGCCCCAGGGGTCACTGCGATATGGGCAGGTCAGCCTCTTACCAGCCTCCCCCCAGCCACAAAGAGGGGCACTGCGCCGTGGCTCCTTGCAGGCCGGGAGAAGACAACAGCACAGCCTTCCCGCAGCGTAAGATGGGATGGAGGTCCCGTGTGATGGGTGAGGGAGACCAAACCCCTCCCCCTTCTGTCCCCTATCCCCATTGATGATGTGGGCATGAGCGCCCCAACAGGCCTTACCGGATAGAGGGTTGCAGGAGTCGCTGCTCGGCTCCTCAGGGAGGGCTGCGGAGGGCGGAACAGCCAGGGGTCCCATGGTCACATGGAAAGGCGACAACTCCGTGGCCCTGGAGATGGGGACGGGGGTCTCCTCCTCGTCACTAGAGGCGGGGCTAGACACGGCTGAACTGCTGAGGCAGGGCTCCCACCTGGCGGCAGCGGGAGCCTGGCAGTTCTGGCCCATGTGCAGCACCTTGGGCTGGGACCTCGATTCCCCCAGGTGTTCATCTGTGGAACAGGGAGCATAAAATTACTTTAGGGGTGCAGGTGTGTCTCAGGCAACGTCTCCAGGCAGGTGGGCCTAGGGCAGGGTTGTCAAACCCTGCCGCATTTTAGTTCTCCTCCATGGACCAGCCGTGTGGGGAGAGATGGGATGGACACTTTCTGCAGAATCTTGCCAGTCATAATGGGGCACGGTGGGGTTCATGATTCCCCCTGTTCCCCATTTTTGTCCTGGATGCTCCACCCAGCCACCCTCACCTCTCCATGCCCCATTTTGGCCAGTAGGATGCTCCAGGAAGCTGTGTAGGCCGAAAATGGGGCACAGGGGGACACTGCACACCCTGTTTTGGCTGAAAGAGGGACCACGTGCCAGTCCTTTGCTATTTCCAGGCGGGCCCCATGGGCCAGATTTAAGCACCCCACACACCAGATCCAGCCCCCATGGGCCTTGGGTTGGACACCCCTGGTCTAGGGTCTTCTGGTCCCCAGAGGGAGGGCGGGAAGGAGGGAGGGAGACCCAACCTTCTTTCCTGGGTGAGCAACGATGCCCTCTTTTTCCATCTCGGTTGG